AAAGAAACAGAAAGGAGAAGAAAAAGAGAGAGAGAGAGAGAGAGAGAGAGAGAGAGAGAGGGGAAGGAGGGGGTGCATGTAAAAAAACTTTTCTTTCTTGGGGGAGGGGTGTTTTGAAGGAAGCTCGGCGGAGCGCGAAGCGTATCAGCACAACCATAGACAGTGAGCGCGAGGGACAAAGGAGATTCCCACACAACGGAAGAGTTTGGATACTTTAAAAAAAAAAATCGATGGACTTTCGTACATTGGCGCGCGGCTTGTCCGTGAACGCACCGCGGCGGTAAGGGCTGGAAGAGGAGAACTTTTGCTCGAGCGTGTGAGTTCATGCACTCTGCTTCTGCACCCACGCGTGGTGACTTCATGACGTGTTTTCTGGGACTCGGGGAGATATTTTTGTCCACTTTATAGCCTGTGAGGTTTGATGATGTGCTGCAGGAGGAAGGGTTCGAGCTAACCCCCAAGCATGAGATGGTGGTACAGCGCGCTGGCACTGCTCTCGTGGGTGCTGGTGGCCGTGGATGCGCAGCTCATCTGCTGGCAGGCCATCATGCGCTGCAACGCCGAAACTGAGTGCGACCTCGCCTATGGCCAGTATATGGCCGCCTGTGAGGGCAACCTGCGGGGCACGAGGCGTCAGTGTCCCAGCCCCTGCATCAACGCGCTGATCCGCCTCAACCGGACCCGCAGCGGGCCGGACCTGGAGAGCTGCGAATGCGCCCAGGACGCCGAGTGTCTGCGGGCCAAACGCGCCATCGAGCCATGTCTGCCGCGCCGGTATCCGGATGACGGAGGCGGGGGGATCGGCTGCATGGAGGCCCGCCAACGTTGCGTGCAGGACAACCACTGCGAAGCTTCCCTGGATGCCTACCTGTCCGACTGCGGACAGTTGTTCAATGGACGCAAGTGCTCGGCCAAGTGCAAGGCCGCCATCCAGCAGATGCTATACACACCTGACGGGGCGCTGCTGAACCGCTGTGTTTGCGACGGTGAAGGGAGACCCTTCTGCGAGGTGGTCAAGGAGAACATGAGCAAGCTCTGCTCCATGGGGGACCGTCACGGTGTCATCTCAGACCAGCCGGATGTGGATGACACATACGAGGACGAGGACTACGATGCCAGACAGGATAAGGAAGACGTCTACAGTGACCACTCGGCGGCTCCCCGGAGGTTTTCTTCATTGGGGGCGCTCCTGTTTCTCCCTCTGGGATGTATTTGGTTGTGACACAGCTGGATTTATTCCTTGACACATCAGGAGAGACACATCAGATCTTGGACCTGCCGAAGGGGGGCTTCAGCTGGATGAGGTGATGCTGGGTTTCACCCTCGGGCCTTGCCGTCAACACTTTGGAGTATTTTTTTTTTAATTTTTTTTTTTTAAAGCAAGGTTGACTAGAGCACAACTGGACTTCTTTTTGGCTGAAGATGTTTGCAGGTCCAACCATACTCCATTCCAGCATATGATTTAGGAATATGGAACTGCCAGTTTGAGTTTCTTTTTTGCAGTTGACTGGAGTGGGGCGGGGTTGGGGGTGGGGTGGGGTTGACCTGGCAGAGTGATTCTGTTTTTTTCCCGTGTGTCTTTCTGTCAACAGTTTGGATTACAGCATTTGAGATTATTCTTCAAACTAAAGTTGACTAGAAGGAAATTGAACTTCTTTATGGTTGCAAATGTTTGACTTCCCAAATGGAGGCGTCCAACCGTCCTCTGCACCAGGATGTGGTACGGAAACCTAAAAGTTGGCAAAAACTGTTTGAGGACTCCTCCCTAATTGAGGGCTTTGACGTCTTTGCAATTCGGTGACATCTCAGAAATCTTCGAGAGCTACCTATGCGGACCTCTTCTTCAAAGTGAAGGATCTTCAGTTCTCCATTGGAAGCAACAGCAGTCTTCTACACTAGTATGTGACACAGATCCAGAAAGATCAAGTTTGTACTTGCTCATGGTTGAAAACTTTGACTTCTTGGCTTTTCAAAAGTTTCTCCATTGCAGGTGAAAGGGCGCCCAACCTTCATCTTCACCAGTATGCTGGAGGAACCATCACTTTGGACTTCTTCACGCTTGAGAACACTCGACTTCTACATTGGAAACACCAACCATATTCTACACCAGGATATGCTGCAGAAACCGTCGAGAACCTACTTTGGACTTTATCTCCCGTGGAGTGGACATCTGCCTTCTTCTTAGGACCGATTGTTTCGCCATCGGGGTTCCAACCAGCCTCTACATCAGCATTTGCCATAGAAACCTAGACATAGTGAAGAACTGTAAACCGGACTTAAAGCAATTGCCTTCCAAGGACCTAATTCTGAGAACAAAATCATTCCAATTTTATAACCCAAGAACCCAGGACTCTATGTCATTTATATTC